GCAAAGAGAACTGTTGAGAATGGTCAAGAAACAGTAGAAGTTGAAGAAGATGGCCAGTTAAAGTCCTTAACTATAAATGGTAAGGAGCAGCTGCTACACTTGGATAACAAGTAATTCAACGCACGCATTTAACAGAAATGTTAAACTCTTACAAGTACCATTTGAGGATAAACAGGAACTTTTTTTGAAGATTTCAAATGAACTCTACTTTCAGTATAACTGTACCTAATCTAAAGTATTTATAAAATGCTCATCTGAGCACCTATTTGTCATAGACTTTTGAGTTTATTGTTGGGACCACATTAATAGGACCTTTTTTTTGTCTTTAAAATTGTTGTAAATTTATGTATGCACTTTGCTTTTTTCATTATTACTATTAAACTTAATCCACGGTGAACAGTGATTCTTTAGCAGAGTTAGGAGAAAATTGTATACTAACACCAGCATGAATCCTGCTTTTTTTCCCATTTTGCTTGAAATGTGAGCCAAGTAGTTTCAGTCTGCTATGAAGTTAGCATTGCCAGGATGAATCTCCGACAAAAATAATTTCGTTTTTCTCCCCAGTATTGAGTAGTGAAAGATAATAATACTTTAATGGTAATACAGTTCTGGTTTAATATAAATTAAGGATATTTTCTAGTTGTGCATGAAAGCTGGCAGCTTAGCAAGTTTTGAACATTGTTTAAATATGTAATGTTAAGCTGAGGTTTAAAAGCAAAGCTGATAAAATGGGTCTTTGTCATTTGCTTAAAAAATAATAAATGCTGATGTGTTTGGTGCATTGTTTCCAAAAAAATAAATAAATAAAATAAAATCCTAGAACTCTGTTAGAAAACAAACCAAACATAAGACAACAAGCTTCACCCACAAATTCACATTTAAATAAGACAAGGTATATTTTTGGAATAATCATGAATCTACATAGAATTAACAATCATTTAAATGCAACTCAAGCTGAATTGCTGGCTGTTAACAAAGTCTCTGATCAACTAGAGTAGAATAGCATCAGAAATTGATTATGTAAGACAATAGTATATTGTTCCAAGGTGGGTGTGTGTAATGAAGTTCACGCTAGATTACACTAATGACTCACTTAAATATCTGAATTTTCTGCTATCTTAACCTTTAAATCATCTGCAAAAGAAGCTGCCAAAAACTGTTAGTAGGAAAGCATGCTTTTCCCAAAAGAACTTGGTATATACAATTTTTTTACTACTTAAATGTTTTGTTTTTTATGACTGAGATTTGAATTGGACGTTAAAGATTTTAAGCTAATTTTAAAAGTAATGGATGCTTACTAAATCACTAATAATATTCAACATACATAACCTTTTCTTAAAAAACCACACTCACTGCCACTGAATCAATGTGGACCCTATAGGACAGAGTAGAACTGCCCCTGTGAGTTTCTGAGACTGGAACTGTTTACAGGCGTAGAAAGGTGGCTGATGGTTCAGAACTTCAAACCTTGTGGATCACAGCCCAAAAGTGTAACCACTATACCACCAGGGCTCCACTACATAACCTTTTAGGAGGGCATAAATTGTGTGTGTGTGTTACAGCACCTGGCACAATTCTGTAAAATATCTGTTCACTATTATGCACAATTATTGCAGAACCTGACAGTGATTACTGTTTTAAAACTTTGGCTAATAAATCAAAGTTGAAAAATAGATGTATTTTATTTCTTGATTTGGGTTACCTTTTTGTTGTGAATTGGTTCTCAGTTACTCCAGTTTCCTTTCAACAAAACATTGGCAGATAGTATACTGGATTGAAATTACCTGACTCTATTCCCACTTTAATTATTCACATATCATTATGAAAAATATACAACTTCAGGGATTACATTTTAAGTTTGGGAAATGAGTCAGAAACCACACTTCTAGGAGCAGTAGCCAGTCTGGGACAGATGTTTATCGTACATCCTGAGTCCCTCTTAGCACTCCAATTCCTCTCTAATAAATCATTTCAGAAAAACAACTGAGATGGGTCAGGATATGTGATAATAAAAATCCTCTGAAGCAATTATCCAATGATTGTCTCTGAAACTGCCCTAGTTTAGAAGCCTCTGGGTATGAATTTGGCCCTTTTCAATGTTAGTCTACATCAGTGGTTCTCAACCTTCCTAATGTCATGACCCTTTAATACAGTTCCTCATGTTGTGGTGACCCCCCTACCATAAAATTATTTTTGTTGCTACTTCATAGCTGTAATTTTGCTACTGTTATGAATCAGGCGATCCATGTGAGAGAGTTGTTCGACCCCCAAAAGGATCACAACAGACAGGTTAAGAACCGCTAGTCTACATCATACATACTTCCTTCTGATAGTCACCTGGGAGTGGGGAGGAGTGAGTCTGTAGAATGAGACATTCTATCAAGCTTAATTTTGTTTTTACAACTATTGAAAACAACACTATCACATTTGCAAAATTACTGAAACACCACCACACCCACAACTCTTAGGCTGGGTATTCAACCCCAATGAAAAAACTATCCAGAGCCAGCATTTTCTTTTCCATCGGATAGATGTCTAGGACTTATTAGTAGCCTAGCAAAAACTTAAAAAAAAAAAAAAAAGACTTCCCAAAGCCAGAATGCAAATGAACCCCTTACTTTGGTTTGGTTTGGTTTTGAAAACAAATTCTATTTCTCATGTAAGATGAAAAGAGTATTAATTCAAAGGAGATCTGGGAAGTCACAATGTGTAAATACTTCTGATAATAGAACAAATTAATGTCAGGACACAGTCAATAATGCAATAAAGCCCTGATGCAACCATAACCGTCAAAGGGCATCTGTGTTAGCAGCTAGGGAAAGTGGCATTTGCAGAAAGGCACTACCACTGCCTTCAAAAGAAAATCATTAAGCCTCAGCGGTTAAGCCCTTCCCCCATCCTTCAAAGCAATTAACCAGTAGAAGGTGCAATTCCATAGCCCATCCTTATCTCCCACCCCCCAAGCCTCCACCCTGAGCCCAAGGTGGAGGGCTAAGCCATGTGGGCACTCCCAGCCCATTCCCTGTCCAGTTTTCAAAGACACCTCTACATACAAGACCCAAAAGCAGAAAACCAAAGCTTTTCTTCTAACTCTTATTTTTAAAACAAACAAAAAGGACACTGACAGCTCAATAACCAAAATACCTCACCATCATCAAGAACTGAGAAACCACACATACACATCATTTTGCCAAATAATAACCTGAAATATGAGTGATCTTTATAGTCTTGAACTCCAAGATAACTGAGATAACCTATTTCTACCTAGAAAGGAAAACCCAGGTCACATTCTTGACAATAGGAGCCAAGTGAACAAACCACTGTGCCCAACAAAGTAAGGGGCAATGAGCAATAGGAAAGCTGAGTATCAGGCCACACACAGCATACAATGTGGGGTTTTATCTGTACAAAAAACAAGAGCAGCAGACACCAGGGCTGCAAAGGGAAGAGAGGTGGGGGAGAGGAGACTGAACATATTTTTGAGTGGCCTTTAGTTTCCGATGTAATCTTCTGCCTCTTGCAAGGTTGCAAAAGAGACCAGACAAGAGATGGGTTAAAGCAAGCTGAAAATGAAAAGCACCTTCCTTCCCCCATCTTCTTTCCTCTCTCCCAGAAAGAGCTGTGTCCTTCTGTGCAAACCTAGTCCCAAATATGGGGGAGAATGAATGTGTGTATGGAAGAACAATGAGCCCTCAGCCTGGTTGTGTGTGTGTGTGTGTGTGTGTGTGTGTTTGTCTGCCTCTTTTCCCTTCTACCTCAACAACAGGGAGAGGTGGAAGCCAGTGTTCAACCCACCCTAAGCCATCAAAATCAAAATTGGCTGGTAATTTACAGTGATATTAACTCAACAACCCAAATACATGAAAGGAGACAGCTACCCAAAGATGATTTTATTATTGTATAGATCCATCCTCTTTCCCCTCCCCCAACAGCCTCAGGAAAGAAATCAGTGTACTTCAGACAAAAAGGTTTCTCTTTAAATAGAAAACAATTATTTAAACTGTTTCAAGTCCAAAGATAAGATGCACTAATTTGTTACATTAAAATGTCTGTTTTGTGATTCACAAAGTTTCCTTTTGACTAGTTACCTTTTTGTATTTAAAAAAACTGCTTTAGTGAAAGCTATTTCAGGAATCATATAAAACTACTTTCTAAATGTACCTTAAAATAGCAACACATACTGAAACATTTAGACCCAGACTCTCTCAAGGACACATATAGCTTAAATCAATGTTTGAAGTCTGGAATCCAGAAAAATTATAAGTAAATCTTGGAAAGGAGACAGAGGGAAATGACAATTCAACAATGAATCATTTTGTTTTCCTTTCAGCAACTTCTTAGACAACCACTTTAGAAGCAACACCACCACACACACAACCTCTCATCTTCTTTCCATAACCATAAACTTAAAAAAAAAAAGTCACTCTCCTCCAGAAAGCTGAATTAAGACATAATTGTAAGAATTCTATTGATCCGGGGTTTCACTCTTTTCTAATCTAACAGGGCAGAGAACTGGAAATAGAATGCCAAGAGGTAATCTCCCCCGAGTGTAAAAATTAAGACTTTAAAAATCCTCCCCCACAAAACCCCTGAAATCCACAAACAATATTTACAGTTGTAATCCTTGACTTTCCTTCCTCCCCCAGTTCAGCCAGTCATTTAGTCCCATAAAACAGTTGAACCTCAGGGAAGTACATCCAGAGCATGAATAGGCAGCCAGGAAAAAAACAGGGGTCAGAAGGCAAGTAGGGCAGTGACCTGCTCGGGACAGGAGCAAAGAGATTCCAGTCCTTTCTTCCCCCTCCTAACACAGCCGTCTTGTCTTGCCTGCCCTGGCCTCACTCGACCTGTACTGCTTCTTTCCAGCCTTTCTCTCTCCAGATCACACTGGGAGAGGGGTTTCACCACCGACCCTCTCTCCCCACCCAACACCCCAGAACCAGGCTGGGGGAGGCAAAAAGCACACCTCCCAGCACGGCGCAGGCAACTTAGCGACTTACCTTCCCCTAATGCGCTACACCATCAATATAGGGGTGTTTGTGGCCCAGCTCCTCGAAGTGGAGGGCACGGGGCGGGAGGGCCGCGGGCAGGGTTGCGGGCGGCCGGGCTCAGGGCCGAGGAGGGCGGCCCGCTGGGACGCGAGGGGCAGGGCTGTAGGGGGTGGGGGGGCTTCCCTGCCGTGACCTTTAATGCGACTTTAAACTACCCTCTCTCCTCCTGGGCGGGGCAAAGCCTTCAGAAACAAGCACCCAGGCTCATGTCTGGTTTTTTGTTGTTGCTTTTTTTTTTCCTGAGGGCGAGGGGTCTCCCGGAGGATGATGGTGATTCCCACCACCCCCCACCCTCAACTAGGGGAGAAAATGAGGCAGACAATGTGGGAGGCGAAAGGGGGGAAGAAAAGGGGGAAGGAGGAGACGGCTACAGAAAGCCGGCCGAGGGGAGCGTCTGGGGGCGTGCGGGAGGAAGAGGAGGTGAAAGAGCGCGGGGGGCGACTCGCGAGCGTCTGTGGGAGCAGCGGCGCCTCCGCGATGGTGGCGGAGCCGCGGCGGGGCTGCTGCACCGACCCACCGCCCACTCTGCGCTCGGGTCCGGCCCACCTCGCAGTATCGCGCCTCCTCATTGGCTCAGCTCGGCGTGACCCGCGCGGGGGCCGGGCCAATGATGGGCGGTGGGCGGGCTGAGGGAAGAGGTGGTTTTTTGGGGTTTTTTCCCCCCTTTCTCTTTTTAATAAAATGAGCCGAGGCGGCGGTTGGGTTGTGGGGAAGTGTCTCTGTGGCTGTGGCCCCGGGCTCTAGGGGAACAGCTGGGTTCCCCGCCGAGGGATGTGGCCCATCCGCTCCTTCACACCCGCCTCAGGTCGCGACCCGGACCAACGTCGCTTTCCTACACGCCCCGCCCCCGCCACACACGCACGCACGCACGCACGCACGCACAGGGACCGGGACCAGGCGCTGAATCCGAGCGCCTGGCGGGGCGGGGCGGGGCCGGGGACTCCGTAGGGGCTGGATTGTGCGGAGTCCAGTTGCTCTCCTCGTGTTTGCCTGGATCACAATTCGCTTTTCAGTCGCTTCAGACTCGGATTCCTAACGCAGGAGGCTCGTGGGGCAGGGGTGGGAAGGGGGTGTGTAAACGTAGATTGATTTGAACGTTTCGCTTAAAGATTTCTTGGAAATCCTACCGAGCCTCTTGATAGCATTTATAGAAACTGAATAATATGAATGGCACATACAACATGGAGGGATTGTTGCAATGGCATTGGTTTTGCTGTGTATGTGTTCATCCCAATAAAGTTTGTTAAAATTAAGAAAATATGTATATGACAAAAGATGGTGAGAAATAGGAACTCAGAATTGATTAATCAATTTATTTGAGGAAGAATAAAATTATATATTTATATACTTATAATAAAATTTATTTGAGGAAGAATCAACTTATTTGAGGAAGGGGGGAAAATGAAGTTGGAAAGCCTGAACAGCCTCCTGAAGGTACCATCACTTCAGATTCAGAAGGGTTGTTTAGAAAGATAGAGCTCCAACTACATGCCGTGTATTTGAAAAAATCTGGGGAGAGGGGGAGAATCTTTTCCGTTGGAGAATGTAATATCATATGCCACTCTCAAAAAGGCTAATAATCACATACCCAAGATGCTCTAATGATTAAAGGAGGGGGCCGTAAAAGACAAAAATCCTCATATTCTATGTAATACAATTTAAGGGCTTAGAAATTTTAGTTAGATTAGCAATTTTTGAAATGCATATTGTGTACATCGAGTTCTTACACAGAAACTGGCATGAATCCAGGTTGATCAGGGTGAAACCATCAACCTATTGTCGGTTCATTAATATACTATAAATGCTTATTGGTGTCATGATTCTTACACTGTTCACTCTTCCTAGAGAAGTTAAGAGCTGTGAATATTGAAATAATTAAGTGATAGAGGTCAAAACAATTCACTCATGTTTCAAGTAAAGTGAGTTTTCTCTCTCAATTATTTCAGATTATATTTTCCACACTCAGCATATTCTTTAAAGAAAAATTTGTATTAGCAGATATTATTGGACTATCATCCAAGATATCTACAAACAAATGGGCCCTGTCATTAGCTTTCTGAGTAACTTTCAGCAAGAAAAGTCTATAATTCCTTCAGCTATAGAATGAGGAAACTAGTTAAATGGTTCTGTATAGATCTAATAATGTGAGAGTTGAATTTCACAACTTATAAATTCAATAAGCTGCTTCCAACATTCTTGGTATGAATGGAACTACTTGACATCTGTCTGGGGGAAAAAGGAGTCAAATATATTAATCATATGGCTTCAGTTCTCATCAAAACTACATGTGCAGAAGTGTGCAAGGCTCCACACTGTTGTGGTGGATAAGCAGACTCCATCCCTAGGAGATGCCTATGGATCTTGCACTACTTTTCACCAGGAAGGAGAGAAGCTCTCAGGATGAAGAAGCAACGTTTTCTTCCGTACTACAGTGAAGTGCTGTTGTGAATTATTTATACAAGCATGGGCTTAAAAGTCCAGAAATTTCATATTATACACAACATGTTATCTGGGCCACAAACTCAGCAAACTCAATCTAGTTCATCATAATAATCCAGGCAAGAATATGGTCCCACCACAGAATCATTGTAGGACCTTCCTTCCAAGAATCTGAGAAATTGATAATGTAATAACAATGATGAAACCATTGAGTAAAAGCTTCTTATATCCCAAGCCCGCTAACATTCCTTGGCCCATGTCGGCCTCACGACAGCCCTCAAAGTGTCCTTTTGAAATGTGAGCAAACTGGAGGTTAGGAAGGTTAAATTGTTTGCTCAAGGTTAAAGAGGTTAAATATCTAGTGGGCTTATTTTTCCTCTATGAAATTTAAATGGGTTTCCTTGTTTCTCTTTGCTGCAAGTTTTAGAAAATAAGGAATACTTTGGCTATTGAATCAGATGAGACTTCTGAGATTTTTATTATTTAAGTATGTTTTTTGTAGGTTAAAGTACAAAAGATACAAAAAGTATCTTCTTGTAGGTTACAAAGTTAAGAAGTAACTTTGTAACAATAGGGGCCTAACACCATTATTTAAAATAAGCCAGGGGGAAGGAGTGTTGTAGAAGAAGTCGTGCTGAGACAGCCAGAGAGCTACATGAGGAAAAAAACAAAAAATGGAAAGCAAACTAAGAAAACGTGCATCCCGGCTGTGCTTAGGCCAGTGAGTTAAACATTACGTGTGGATAAATTTAAATTTAAAAGGTTTTTCTTAAGTTGGGTGTTAAGTTGACTGGTGTACCCTTTATTATTCTCCTCTATAATTGACCTTGTAGCCATCGTAACATAGTGGTTTACTCTGACCTCCAAGTTAGCAGTTCAAAACCATCAGCTGCTCCGAGGGAGAAAGAGGAGGCTTTCTACTCCCCAAAAAGGGATATAGAAACCCACAGGGGTGGGGCTACCCTACCCTATAGGATTGCTATGAGTCAGAAATGACTCCATAGCAGTGCATTTGGGTTTATTATCCAACAATGGTTACAGCAGTCCATTGACATGGGGCTGACAGAGGTTCAGGCTGAGTTCAGAAGAGAACATGAAACAAGGTGTTGCTGATGTCAGATGGATCTTGGCTCAAAACAGAAAAGACCAGAAAGATCGTATTAGTCTAGGTACGTTAGAGAAACAAATCCACAGCAACTCATGTATAAGAGAGTTTCATGTAAAGAAAGCGTGCAACACAAAAACATCCCAACCCAATGCTGCGCAAGCCCACAAGTCCAACATTAACCCATGAACCCAACACAAAGTCCTCCACCTCACAAAACAGAGACAATGATGCCGACTGCAGGAGGAAAGCTGAGTCAGTGAACGAATAAGCATCTCAGCACTAGCAGGGGTCTCCACACGGCTGCTCCAGCACCCAGGGCTGCATCGAGTTAGGTCCATGTGGCTTCTCCTTGGGGATGTCTTGTAGAAAGTCAATCTTGCAAGCTGAAGCAGGGAACTGCTAAGGCAGCTGCACCCTGGTCCAACCATCACAACGCAAGAGACCGGAGAGGTAGAAAGGCGAGGCTCACCACCCATTTAACCCTCCGCCTTTCAATTAGCCCCACATGTGATTATTGGCCAGGTTGGCACAATTAACTAACTCAAAGATGTTTATATATATTTTATTGACTATGACCAGGGATTTGAGAAGAATGAGAATTCCAAAACACTTCATTGTGCTTATGCAGAACTTGTTCGTGGATGACTAGGCAGTTGTGTGAACATAACAAGGGAATACTGCATTAAGAAAGGTGCATCAAGGTTGCTTTCTCTCACCATACTTATTCAATCCGTATGCTGAGCAAATCATCAGAGAAGCTGGATTATATGAAGAAGACTGTGGCATCACGATTGGAAGAAAGCTTAAAAAAGAAAGAAAGACAAAGATTGGAAGATTTATTAACCACCTGAGGCACTTGCTGATGAAGACTGGGGATTGCAACCTTCAGTAGGGATTACAACTCAATGTACAGAAAACCAAAATCCTCGCAACTGGACCAATAAGTAACATCATGATCAATGGAGAACAGGTTGAAGTTGGCAAGGACTTGGTCTTGCTTGCATCCACAAGCAATGCTCATGGAAGCAGCAGTCACGAGATCAAAAGACACACTGCATTGGATAAATCTGCACAGGACTTGTTTAGAGTGTTGCAAAACAAGGATGCTACTTTGAGGGCTGAGGTGCACCTGACCCAAACCATGGTCTATTCAATTGCCTCATAGGCATGAGAAAGTTGAATGTTGAATAAGGAAAACCAAAGATGACTCGATGCACTTGAACTGTGGTGCTGGAGAAGAATGTTGAATGAACCACTGACTGCTAAAGAATGAACAGATCTGTCTTGGAAAAAGTGTGGCCAGAGTGCTCCTTAGAGACAAGTACTCCATCTCAAGTACTTTGGACATGTTGTCAAGAAAGACCAGTCTCTGGAGAAGAACACCACGCTTGGTAAAGTGGAGGAGCAGCGAAAAAGCAGGAGGTCTTCAAGGAGATGGATTGTCACCCATGGTTGCAACAATGGGCTCAAGCACAGGTGTAACTGTGAGGATGGCGCAGGACCAGACATTGGACATAGGGTTGCTATGAGTCAGAATCACCTGGATGGCACCTAGGAACAACAACATCATCTGTAGATACATCAGATGTTGAATGACTTAAAAACAGAACCATAAAAATTATTAACAATACTAAAACTTTCTAAAATCATGGGATGAAGAAGCTCTTTCTGAGCATGATATGAGACCCATAAGCCATTAAAGGAAACAATAAATTTCACAGCATAAAAATTTTACATCTCTATATTATAAAAACACCAGAACAATGCAAGAAACAAGCAAACTCATGTAGGGGATATTTTTAATGCCTGTAATAAAGGATTAACTACAAAGAGCACTTACAGATTTGTAAAGAGAAGAATCAATAAGAAATGAACTCAGATAAGAGATCACGACACATGGAATCCAGG